TTCCTTAAGTCGGGTTACAAGTTTCATGCTTTTGCTCCAACATCAAGATATTGCATTAACAATCTCACCAGTTATCATTCACACCACTTTGAAGTTTTTTTTCCTTTCCTCATGCTTTGCATTTATCATTTTGGCTTAACCTCAATATTTATGCTTTTCTTTTCCCTTTTTCTCAGCCTTTTTTTTAACAATACCCACCAATACTTGTAAGAAAAGAATAACAATATCCAACAATGCCTATAGGAAGAATGATAACATTCATAATCATTTCATTTCTCAAATATAGGAAGGTGGATAAATATTGTTTAGGCTCAAGGGTTCTGTTTAAAAATAATCTTGTTTTTGGCTCAAATGGGATTTAAATGGATGTCCTATAATTAATGCAGGGTTGACTATTTGGCTATGGGTTATATCTATTTTTTACTACACAAGAAAAAATGCCTTTATCATTTTCAAGTCTCGCTAACATGCAATCACATCAAAGAATCAATCAATATCAATTATCATCATAAAGTGTCCACACTCAATTTGAACTGTTTATGGTACTCTACTCACTTGGGTTTTGACTAACTTCTCCAATTCAGTTAATTTCTAATTGTCCTCATCAATTCCTTTTCACTATCATACTCATCATCCCAAAATCACTTGTTATTGGAAACAATCAAAATGATTTTTCACATTTCAGATTTGAATTAGACAATAAGTAATAATCTCATATATGACTCTAATAAAAATTGTATGGGACAACAAATAAATTTAATCACATTGAATTAAGAACATTAATCAACTTTAAATACCAGATGTCAATTCAAAACATTAAAAACAAAACAATTTAAAATAAATAAAAAAACTTAAAAACATCAAATTAACAAAACAAATAACTTAACACAAAAAAAAACTTAAACTTAAATTAAATTGTTACCTCCATTTTATTCTTCTTCACTTGCTAATTCTCCTTCTTCTTCTTGTGCCACAACCTCAGCTGCAGACTTTCTCACCCTCCTCCAAAAAAAGTTGGACTGTCTCCAGGCCATTGAAGTAAGGCTTGAAATTCTTGAGGAGAAGTTCACTATTACCTGGAGCAATCCTGCAAAGAAAGAACCTAAGGAAGAAAAATGCACAAAAAACTTAAACTGCACAAAAAAAATTCAAAACACTGGGTTGAACGCTTGTTTAATGTCTTCAGCTCGACGCCTATTTGCTTTAGAGCTCATGCAGGTGAGTGATCAAGGTGATCTATACACATTCTCCATCCCTTGACTATCCTTGTGGAAATGAATTTATTCTTTTCATTGCAAATAACTGTCATCCCAGGATTCACCTTACGACTGTCAGAGATTGGGTAAATCATACCTATTTCAGGATGTTTCAGTACCTCTTTTTGAACAACTTCCTTCGTAGTCAGATTGAGACGTCTTTGGGGTTGTGCAACATGCTTGTAATCTTGTTTTTTAGTTGAGATGAGTAATTCCTCCAAAGTATCTATTCTGAGGCAATCTTTCTTGTCTTCCGGTTGTTGTACAACTTCAAATAGATTAAATTAACTTCACCATCTCCACTTCTAATTTTCAACTTGTTCTTGTCAACATCTATAATTACTTTGACAGTCTTCATAAATGGCCTTCTCAGGATCAATGAGACTTCCTTATTTTCCTCCATGTCCATAATCACAAAATCAACAGAAAATATGAATTTATCCACTCTAACTAAAACATCTTCTGCTACTCCATAAAGAATCTTTATTGATCTGTCAGCCAATTGCAGAGTCATTATAGTTGATCTAACATCCAAATCTCTTATTCTTTTGAGCATAAATAATGGCATGAGGTTTATGTTGGTCCCTAAATCAAGTAATGTTTTTTTCACTAGTAATGTACCAATTGTGACTGGTGTAGTGAAGCTTCCAGGGTCCTTGGACCTTTGAGACAATGAGTTCTAGAATATAACACTACACTTTGCCTCTAATTTCACTGTTTCATCAGTAAATCTTCTTTTCTTAGTTAAGAGCTCTTTCATAAATTTGGCGTATGTTGGCATTTTCTCTATAGCTTCCACAAAGGGTATATTGATTTGCAATCTTTTGAATATATCTGAATGAAACCTCAGTATTTTTCTGACTAGAAAAAGTAGCTTGCATGAATTTTTCTAAAGTGTCCTCCAATTTGCTCATTCTGTCATGCATTGGAGGATATTGTTGTTGCTGATGTTAATATGGAGGTTGCTAATATGACTGTTGTTAATATAGAGCTGATTTATTAGATGAACTAGCACCTTGTTTCCACCCAAAGTTCTGATTCTGATTCCCTCTCCATCCTTGTGCAAAATTTTCTGATAGTTATTGGAACTAGGGAAATTACCTTGTTTGCCTTTACTACTACCTTGAGCACCCATATAATTAACTTCTTCTTGTTGTAAGTTGTCCTGGTAAGAGCATTGTTCATTTGGATGATCACCTCCACACAAGTTACATTTCATGAATTGTTGACCAAAAGAAGCTTGGATAACATGTATTTGTTGAGGTAGCTTCGCTACTTGTTAAGTCAATGCTTCCATCTATTTAGTCATAATTTTATTCTGAGTTAGCATAACATCTGAAGTGTTAAGCTCTAGCATTCCTTTCTTTTGCATTGGATCTATCATGTTGAGCCTGTTGGTATGTAGATGCTAATGCATCAATAATTCTTGTGGCTTGTTCAGCATCCATAGTTATCATAGTTCCTCCTGCTGCAACATCTAAGAGCATCTTTGTATCAGGTCTCAGGCCAGTATAAAAGATGTTTAACTGAACAATGTCTTCAAATCCATGGTTTGGGCATCTCCTTAACAGTAATTTGAATCTCTCCCATGCTTCACAAAAGGGTTCATCTGCTCCTTGTCTAAAAGTAGAAATGTCTTATTTTGCCTTGATGTAGCGAGATGGTGGAAAAAATCTGTTCAAGAATTTATCTTCTACAGTACCCCAGTTGGTCAAACTTTGATTAGGATGTGCCTTCAACCACTCCTTTGTCTTACCTGCCAAAGAAAAGAAAAGAATCTCAAATATGTAGATTCAATATCTGCTGCTCTAAATCCCATGGTACCAATCAATTCATAAAAAGTAGACAAATGAATATAAGGGTCTTCATGATCCAGTCTAGTGAATTGATAAACACTGATCAAGCTTAAGAAAGTTGGCTTCATCTCCAATGTTTGGTTGTCCGGTATTGTAATGCTAGAGAAGTGTCTCGGACCTTGTTGCATAACATAGTCTTCAAGTGTTCTTTTAGGTGGATTTGGATTTGGATTTAGATTTGTTTCTTCTTCCACCATGTCTTCTATAATTGGGTCTGGTAAATTGAGTGTAGGAGAAGAGTTAACTGACTCTTCTGTGACTTGTTCTTGAGTTTCCCTTCTTCTTCTATCACGGTTCCTCTGAGCGGTTTTTTCAATCTCCAGATTAAATTCTAACTGCTCTGAAAATACATGTCCTCTTAAATGCGTAAATCAAAAAGTAACTCAAGCAAAAATTAGCATAGGACAATAATTAAGCAAAATAAACTAAAAAAATAAAACAAAAATAGAAATAAAAATACGTAATAAGCTAAACAAAGAATTCCTAAGGAACGTCGTTCCCTAACAACAGCGCCAGAAATACTTGTTGAATTATTGGCAAGTGTACCAAAATTATCAATCATAGTATAGTATTTCGATTAAATAAAAGTCGATTCCACGAGGAACGATTTCAATGGAAATTCTCAATTATATGCTTACTAAGTGGATTAAAACAAGATGAATTTTGCATAAAGAGTTGAATTGAAATTAAATGACAAAGAACTGTAAATTGTTTAGAAAAGATAAATTAAAAGTACTTAGGATTGACTTCCTTCCTTTTCCCTCTTTTGCAATGACTATGTCCAATTAAGATAATCAATTAACCCAACAATGTTTATGTCACCTACTCAAATCATCCATGTTGATTTCTCATACATGAAATTCATAAGAAAACCTAATAAATGTTGATTTCACACACAATTAAGAGATTTTCCAGCATTAGGGTTAGGGTGTTAAGCAATTGATACATTCATATCATTCCTGACAATTAGCGTAACATATTTTTACCGTGATCTAGGGTTCAAGATATATTTTTCAACCATATCCCAAACATCAAGAATAAATCATTCCAAGAGACATAAAATAAGAATAACAACATCAAAACATAAATTAATATCTCAAAATATCACCAAGATACAAAAGAGTTCAAAGGAAGTGCACTCAATTCCAAGAGAATGAAGTTAGTCACTCATGTTGTCCATCACAATGCTCCAAATGAGGAAGAAGTGAAGAATTGATGAAGATTTGACGAAACCCTAGTAGTAGTCGTGCCTCTTCTCTCCAAAAACGCCTCCCTCTTCTCAAAACTCGTATTATCTTTTTATAAGAGAAATTAAACTTTTGGGTTTCGCGTCTTTCGCTCAAGCGACAACACTCACTCAAGCGAAAGTTCCTATTTTCGCTTAAGCGACAAAATGCTCGCTTGAGCGAGTGAGTTCCAGATAAGAATAACTAATTTTCGCTCAAGCGAAATTACTGACGCTTTAGTGACTGACTTCCAGAGAGTTTTAACTGATTTTCGTTCAAGCGAGAGTCTATCTCGCTTGAGCGACTCCCATGCTGAAAATTTACTTCCTCGTTTCAGTTTTTGTTTTAATTACGTTGATAGTTATGCTCCTTACTCTTGTATTAAGGTATTTTCGAATTCATCCTCCATGAGGAGAAAAATATATTAGAATTGACATAAGTTAAGTAAGTGATTTATTAATAATTAAAAGCATAATTATATCAACTTTTTACCACTTAACACTGTTAACATAAAATAAGGATTAAAAGAAATAAACGACTAAATCTATCGCGAAAGATCATATGTGCAGTCTTCAACCTCCTTAATATGAAATCAAATCATACGTGCAAAGGCCTTTTTTTTGTAGGAAAGAGATCACGACTAAAATTTGTAGTCTTTACTTTCAAGTATAATCTGTCTCAATGCGCCAATCGGAGCTAATACCATTAATAACACTCCACATATGATGCAAAGCTGAGATAAGAAGAAAAATCAAACTTATTAATTGTAAAAAAGCATAATGTGAAAGACAAACTAAATTAAGATTTGTAGGGAAATATTTTTGGACTACATACCCAATTTGCACACCAAGACAAGCTAAATCTCCTCGGTTTGTAGATGACAAGCCACATTACGCAGGGGAGCTGCAAAAGATTGAGAAATGGATAACATCAACGTTTGTTTGCTTTTAAAAGAAGTTACTACACACTATTTACTTTGCTTACAAAGTATGAGGTTGGAGCAAACACAAATCCTCCAAAGAATCCTAAAAGGCCACCAAAGAAAGGAAATGTAATTCCAAGGAACAATGTAAGGACTGTTGGAAAAACAATTAATAATAATAATAATAATAATAATAATCCTGATTTTGATTCTAACAATCAAACATAAACATAATCCCATACTGATAAACATGCTTGTAAGCTGAATGCGAAGCGTACCTGAATTAGCCATAACGATGAAGTCTTTGTAGAACACTATATTGATCTTATGGTCTTCCACACGAAGAGCACCTGTATTTCCCTCTTGATTTTCTCTCTTGATGGGGATAGAAAGAAAGGAACGGGACTCGATACTTACGTTCGTGTGTGTGCTCTCGAGAAGGGGACCATGACCCTTTAGATAACCAGAATTAGGTTAATTACTTAAGTTTTAGTATTTCCAATTTGGCCCCTCATCAAATTAGAAATTGCTCTATGGTCTCTACACAATTTTATTTTCATGACATATGCTTTTAGCCAAAACTTTAATTTAGTCAGATCACTTTATTATTTGGCTTAATAAATAATGGCCCTAACACATTTAAATTATGTATCATATATATACATGACCCAAATTTTTCCAACAATCTCCCACTGGTCACAAATATATATGTCCTTACAACCTTACAAATGTGTTAGACTTTATGAGCTCAAAATTGCCATTATATTCCTTTAGCATACTCCAAAAGTCCTGTCCATTAATCATATTAGGATATAGAACCAAACCAGACTTTTCATTGCATCATCGCAACTAAAACCAACAATGATTACTCATCCTAACATAACCAAATGACATGGATTCATCATGAAATGTGTAGCATGAAAAATTACGTGAAGGTGATCTGTACACGTCTATTTTCAACTGGTCCAAACTTTAAGTTATTGAGATCGATATAATATCCTTAATGTACAAAGTGTAATGAATGAACGAAAAAACCGCATATCTATAGATAACCAAATATGTCCAAAAAACAATGTATACATATATGAAATTAAACATAGAACATAAAATATATAAAAGTGACTAACTCCCACTAAACCACACAAATTCCTCAAACTGTAAAACACCCATGTGAGCAAAATGCTCATGAAAGACCTTGGGCGGAAGTCCTTTAGTTAGAGGATATGCTATCATGGAGTTTGTCCTTAAGTGTTCTATGGAAATCTGTCCACTTTGTACTATTTCCTTAACAATACAGCTGATTTATTGTCACAATATAACTTAAGTAGTATTTCAATGCCTTTCACAATTTGCGACCACTGTGACAAAATTTATCGACCATATTCCATGATTTGATACCTCATAGCAAGTTACAAATTCTTGACATCCTACAAAATCCGAGTCGAGAAAACCCAGCGATCTCCAGCTGGTCCGACCTCCTATATGTGAGCATATAATCTTTTGTTCTCTTTAAATATCTTATGACCCTTTTGCTTGCTTTTCAATGGTCTATTCCTGGATTGCTTAAATATCTGCCTAGAACCCCAACTATATATGCTATGTCTGGATGCGTACATACTTGGGCATACATCAAACTCCCTACAGCTGATGCATAGGGAATCTTTTGCATTTCCTCAATTTCCAAATTCCCCTTTGGGCACTGATTGAGACTAAACTTGTCTCCCTTTAAACTTGTGATACATACAATCATCAACAATATTCATCTTGAAGCCAAATGAGTTTCATACCTTCTGGTAATGAGACAAGTTCCCAATAACCTTATTGTCTTGCATGGACTTATACTTATCCTATTTCTTCAATCCACTTTTAAGATTTAGAACCTTATATAGCTTGACGGAAGTTAACTGGGTCATCTTCCATTATATCATTATTTTCCTCATGTTCCTGAAGAAATACCATGTAATCATCCGAAATAGCACTTCTTCTTTCTCTAGTGGATCTCTGCAAAGTTATTAGCTCATGATGCACAGGTTCTTAAGGATCTTGAGTTTGTTCTTCATGAACAACCAAATTATCTTGAGTAAGGGGTTCATCAACAATGCCTTGTGGAGGTTCCGAACTTACTTTATCAAAAGTAACTATTTGAATTGGTTCTGAAATTGTTACCGATTCTTCCTCCAAGATGAAGTTCTTAATCTTATTCTTCCCCCCAAACTCAATATACTCAAAGAACGTAGCAGTTCCAGTCTCAAAAAATTGTCTTTAATGTGGGATCATAATATTTATATCCCCTGGATCTTTCAGGCATAACCAATAATATAACCACTTACTTGTTTGGGAGTCCAATTAAACTAATTATGCTCACATTATATAAAAAATAAATAATATATATTCAAATAGTGGTTTAACCCATCTCAAGATACCCAATGCACCATCAATATCAAGTCTTTGGACAGTAATATTAACTGCTAGAGGTATCTTGTTGTAATAATCAAACATTGACAATAAAGCACGTCCAACAACAAACCAGTCTTTGGATTAATTTATCATCGACAAAGCAAATCCTTATAATTATCACATGTTTATCATTACAAGTGTGTATGCAATTCGGCCAAATATTAATCTTCCTTTGGGTCGACTAATACTCGCATGATTATACACAAACACTAACATTCAATATTTTTCATGAACTGCCCGATTCAAGAGAAGTTACTTTGGTGACTTCTTGACTCAATTTGCTCACAAAAAATATTAAACTACCAAAAATTGAATATTTTATTTATATAACAAAACCAAATATTTAATATTTGCAAACTAATTCAAAAGAGAATTACCTCATTATAATTCTACTAAGGATGAACACCTCCCTAGAATCTCATTAGGGATGAACACCTCATCTGAACAAATCAAAGGATGAAAAAATGCCTCATTTTCCACCAATACCTAAAGGATGAACATCTTCCTAAAATCACACTAGGGATGAAACATAGATAGTTCTGAGTCTCTTTAGCATACTGCTCTAAACCCTAAAAGAGAATTAAACAGTAATCACTCAGACCCTAATTTAACATCAAATTTTCTTTAAATTCCTAGGGGATAGAGGCAATAAAATAATAACGACCAAACATGTGGAAACATTCATCATTTACCTAAGATTCTCCGTGTTGGGAACTCCACAAACACCACCCCCAATTCCAAACCCATAAAGTTAAATAAAAACAAAAGATTCAAAAAAGAACGAGAGAACCCAATACAAGAAAAATTGAAATATGAAACACTATTTCTTTCTCAGTAAAACTTGAAACTTAAACTGAAACAAAAGTGAAAAACGAAGAAGAAGAAGAATTCATAGCTTCCTCCACGGTTCCATCAGCAAGCGAATCAGATTGAGGATGTTACCCCCAAATTTAAATTTTAGGGTTCACAAAAATTAGAGATTATCCTCCACTTAGGGTTCATAAAATTGGGTAATCTGAATTGTTTAAAACAAAATTAATCCTAATTTTCATAATTAGGGTTCTATAAATTAAACGAGACATGAATCAAATATGGGCGGCTCGATACCAATTGTTGGAAAAACAATTAATAATAATAATAATAATAATAATAATAATAATCCCGATTTTGATTCTAACAATCAAACATAAACATAATCCCATACTGATAAACATGCTTGTAAGCTGAATGCGAAGCGTACCGAATTAGCCATAACGATGAAGTCTTTGTAGAACACTATATTGATCTTATGGTCTTCCACCGAAGAGCACCTGTATTTCCCTCTTGATTTTCTCTCTTGATGGGGATAGAAAGAAAGGAACGGGATCGATACTTACGTTCGTGTGTGTTCTCGAGAAGAGGACCATGACCCTTTAGATAACCAGAATTAGGTTAATTACTTAAGTTTTAGTATTTCCAATTTGGCCCCTCATCAAATTAGAAATTGCTCTATGGTCTCTACACAATTTTATTTTCATGACATATGCTTTTAGCCAAAACTTTAATTTAGTCAGATTACTTTATTATTTGGCTTAATAAATAATGGCCCTAACACATTTAAATTATGTATCATATATATACATTATCCAAATTTTTCCAACATACAAAGAATGTTGTAATGATTAGATAAATTCTATGTATAAGTAGATTAATTAACGAGTAATAGAGATGAAAGTGCGCGCACTCACAAACGTATGAATTGCGAGTTATGAATCGAAGGAACCAAGTTGGCTGGAACTTCATCTCTTTTACCAGGAATGATTCTAATGTATCAAAGACCGGAACGGCAAAAATCTAACACGAAAATTGATTAGATTTAATTGATTAAGCAAAAAATAAGACAGAATGATGAAGAGAAGTTGTGTAGTGTATGTACCTGATAGCTGCCAGTTACATGGACAAAAACAAAGATGTTAGCGGCTATAATGACCCAGCGTGGTTTCTCGAGGGAGAGAAGGATGCTGTCATCAACAGCGTTTCCGAAAGCCCAGTAACCAATACAAGCAACAGGAAAATAACAAAGGGCCACTACGATATAAGCTACCACCATGCCCTTCCACATGGCTTTTTTTGAGGGGTTTTCAGGTGTCGAAGGTATGGTTGCTTGGATCTCCAAAACTACGTTGTGCCCAGAATACCCAAAAGCTATTGTCCCCAAAGCACTGAAAAACCCAAATACATTCTCTGCATCGGTTGAAAATCTGCTACCATATTCCACCCCTGGTTGAACCCCCCTGTGAGCTGTCGTTATCCACGCCATGGTGGAGTAGCTGCACAAAGACCAAACGTATACCTGTTACTTGCCTTAGAAGATTTCTAACTGTGTACAAAACATGAATAGAGCGTACCTTATGGACATGACAGCTGCAACAAAAGAAACAGCAGCGATGGAGTTTAAACTAGGGAGATGAGAGAGAACGAATTGAATAGCAGCAAACATCATGATGAAGTACGTTCTTCTAATGGGAGTGCATCCATCAACACAAATAGTATCATATATCTTCTTTAGAGAATTCCCACCCGTTATCATATATACTATGTTAACCCCAACTTGAACCATTAGTTGCTGGGGCACAACAATCCAAAGTCCTAACTTTTCTCCAAACGCATACTGCCCCAACTCATGATACCTGTCAAGCCTCTTACCCTGTTCAGGCTCATGCATTTCAATCATTTGCCATGCAGTGTAGAGAGTGCAAATCCATGAAAGAATCAATATTGTTACGCCTGGTCCCCTGCCCCATGAAAGAATCAATATTACTCTTCATCTGTATATATGTTTAAATTTAAATGGTGAGAAATTAAATAGAAAAACAAACCATCCTAGCTCTGACATAGCGTAGGGAAAACCCAGAACTCCTGCTCCTACGACCGCAGTGACATTGTGAAAACTGGAATACCACCACCTTGCATTTCTGGACTTAGTGATGGAAAGCCAGTCGTTGATGTTTCTCTCATGTTCTCCTACTATTGTTGTTGATCTTCCACTTTGGTTCGTATCATCTTCTTCCATGTCTTTTACGTCGTTGTACTGTTTAATGCTATTTCGTTGTATTTTGGTATGGAGATGTTTTGAGTTAATTTTTTCATATTTATAAGCGAGTCTTTTGTTTCAAATGTGAAAGATAAATACTCTTTGTGTGTAGAGGAGAAGAGTGTGATTGGTTGTTTTGGTTTATGGAAGGCAAGGCAAGAAGGATGGTATTGATAGCTGAGGAGTAAAAATTGATATTAGTTTATGTGATAGCTTCTCTCATGAATTCATATTTCTTTCCATTTTGTTGCGAGGAAAAATTTGTTTTTTAACTAAATTGAATTTCTATGTAATAAGTATTATATTTGTCGTAACTTTTTAATATCATAAAGCGTGTTTTATGATTTTTATAGTACAGTGTGTTTTAAGTGGAGGGGATAAGAATGGTACCGTTGGAGGTATGGTGGGTTACTCTTACAAATATTTTATCATTATCCTTATGATTTTTAAACTATAAGTTATAAGTGATAATTTCATTATTCTGGTTCGATAATTTTGTCGTTCATATTCTTTGCAAGTTCTAAGGTTATCAATGATTTGCAACAATAGCTGAAAATTATATGTAAAGGTTCACCTGTTAATGCCAAATCATGCACATTGACAATTATAAATCGAAATTGAAAATTTAATATAATTGAAAAGAATTTTTATAAAAATATTACATTTATATTAAATGGTAATTTATTTTTAGAGTATTATTAATAAAATAAAAATTTATTATATTTATTTTATTCTTTCTATCTTTATTTTTATGTTAGTCCTAAATTAAAAAAAAATCAGCATTTTAAGTTTATCTAAATAAAATTATTGATAACCAAAATAATTAAATGAAATTATATTAAAATTAGGTTAGTGGAATATAAAAATATAAATAAATCATATAAAAACAATGTGAAGTTTTATATGACATAAAACCATCCTTATAAAGACTTTTGAGAAAAAAACTATATTTATATTAAAATGATAATAAAATATAAATATTTATATTTTCTTTAAAATTTTATATATCATATTTTATCTTTAATTATATTTTTACAAAAAATACTTATTTATTATATTATTATTTAATAAATTTAAGTTCACGGTTAATTATTAAAGTTAAAATTATATTCAAAGATAATTTTATTATAAAAAATATATAATTTTATTACCACATTTTAAATATTAATGTCGTTTAAGATAAATGGTCCACTCTCTATATTTATACTTTGCTTATAATATATATTTGTTATTTAATTAAATAAATATTAATTAGATAAAAAAATCCTTTTTTTAATATTTATTTCATACTAAACAATTTGTTTTCAATAAAATAAATCTTCAACCATATGCATATATATTTTAATGATTTTAGACACTCATTTTATGAAAAAATTAGTTCGTTATTATATATTAAAATACATTCTAATTAAATAAAAAATTAAAATTTTTTATCAAACAAAATATCATAGTAAAATTTTTCATCCCCATTAATTAAAAAAATATTATATGTGATACTTATAATTTTATGTTAAATTATAATATTTTTATTCATAAAGTAAAAAAAACTCAAATTTTTTAATAAACATATTATTTAGCAAAAAAAATTCAAAATTTAAGAATAATTTTTTTCTATTTTATTTTTTAAAAAATAGTGATCAACCTCATGTGATATATTTTATTTATTTTGTATATAAGTTAAATTTTTTTATACTGTCATGAAACTACTAATTTGTTATTTTTTTATATTTTTATATTAAAGAAAATTTAAAAATAATTTAATTAGTTAAATTATAAAAAAAATAAAAGATATATATTATTAAATAAAAATATTATATTCTATTTGATAGAAAACATTATTTAAGTTTATGTATTTTATTTATTTTACATATTTTATTTATATGATTTTTATTTTTTTATATAATTCAATGTATATTAATTAGGTAATATAAACATGGATATTTAATAGACAAAATCTTTCAATATTTTTTTTATGATCTAAGAATAAACTATAACTGTCATTTTAATAAAACAATTCTTTAATCATATATACATATTCTTATTAATTTTAAAGACATATTATATGTGAGAAATACTTAATTTTATTATGAAATTAAATATATACTAATTAGAGAAAATATATAAATTTTTATGAGACAAAATAATAAAAAAGTTTATCCGTTAGTATAAAAACTAAAAAAATATAATAGTTTATATTTTATTTATTTGAATATACATTAATAATAAATATTATAGAGATATTACATAATATATATATATATATATATATATAAAATTACAATATAAGAATTATTAATTTTTTATTTTTTATTTTTTACTTTTAATTTAATTTAAAGTACTAAACATGACTTTCATATTTGTTATATTTTTATATAAAAAAGAAAAAATCTGGGTCCAAGCAAGTATTATATCACCAATGATTATCATCAACAATATATTTTATTGTTCCCAAGACGTTGTTTTCTATAACAAACAATATGAAAAAAATTAATATATTTTGAAATACTAATAGTATGTTTTATACCTATAATAACTCTTTGAAATCTTTTGGACCTTCTATTAAAATTAAAAAAATATATTTTTAATACTTTTTATTTTGAAGACTACAATAGTTGACTTAAGTCTTATGAAGATGACTTCGAATTTTGATACATACTACGAAATGTTCAAATATGACACTACATTAATTACACAACACCACAATAATATGAAAATAATATTAAAAACAACAAGTGAAGGCAACACACATTAGGAATTAAAGGAACAATGAGACTAATAATGTAATTTTCATCTTCATATAATACAAATAAAATAACCATTATGATATATAAAGGAGGACTAAAGAAAGAATTTAAGGACAATATATGAAAATGAACCACAACAATTCATTATCTACATTTAATATAAATGAAAGCTAACATTCAATTCAAATCAAGTGTTTTAAAAGTAAGAATTTAAATTGGATTAAGTATTTATGTGAATTAACAAAATAATAATTTTTATTTTAAATTAATTTTATTTTAATTAAATTATTTGATGATTATAATATGAATAAAACAAATCATAAATGAATTTTTGTTTAAAAGAATGATTATATATTACCTTAGATGCAAGTAAAAACAGAATATAATATTAAGATTGCTTTAACCGTTTAGCTAACACAATAAAATAATAAAAGAAGGATGAAAAGAAATGAACGACTAAAACTATGGCGAAAGATCATATATGCAGCCTCCACCCTCCTTTATGAAAGGGATCACGAGTAAAATTTGAAATCCTTAGCTTCAAGTATGATCTGCCTCAATGCGCCAATCGGAGCTAACACCATTAATAATACTCCACATATGATGCAAAGCTGAGATAAGAAGAAAAATCAAACTTATGAAATAGAACCCTTAAATTAAGGTTTGTAGGGGAATATTTTTTGGTTTACATACCCAATTTGCACACCAAGACAAGCTAAATCTCCTCGGTTTGTAGATGACGAGCCACATTACGCAGGGGAGCTGCAAAAGATTGAGAAATAGATAACATCAACATTTTTTATTGTTTTTAAAAGAAGTTACCACAGACTATTTACTTTGCTTACAAAGTATGAGGTTGGAGCAAACACAAATCCTCCAAAGAATCCTAAAAGCCCACCAAAAAAAGGAAATGTAATTCCAAGGAACAATGTAAGGACTGCATACAAAGAATGTTGTAATGATTAGATAAATTCTATGTATAAGTAGAATTAATTAACGAGTAATAGAGATGAAAGCACACTCACAAACGTATGAATTGCGAGTTATGAATCGAAGGAACCAAGTTGGCCGGAACTTCATCTCTTTTACCAGGAATGATTCCAAAGTATCAAAGACCGGAACGGCAAAAATCTAACACGAAAATTGATTGGATTTAATTGATTAAGCAAAAAATAAGACAGAATGATGAAGAGAAGTTGTGTATGTACCTGATAGCTGCCAGTTACATGGACAAAAACAAAGATGTTAGCAGCTATAATGACCCAGCGTGGTTTCTCAAGGGAGAGAAGGATGCTGTCATCAACAGCGTTTCCGAAAGCCCAGTAACCAAAACAAGCAACAGGAAAATAACAAAGGGCCACTACGATATAAGCTACCACCATGCCCTTCCACATGGCTTTTTTTGAGGGGTTTTCAGGTGTCGAAGGTATGGTTGCTTGGATCTCCAAAACTACGTTGTGCCCAGCATACCCAAAAGCTATTGTCCCCAAGGCACTGAAAAACCCAAATACATTCTCTGCATCGGTTGAAAATCTGCTACCATATTCCACCCCTGGTTGAACCCCCCGATGAGCTGACGTTATCCACGCCATGGTGGAGTAACTGCACAAACACCAAACGAATACTTGTTACTCGCCCTAGAAGATTTAGAAGATTTTTACTGTGTAAAAAATATGAATAGATCGTACCTTATGGACATGACGGCTGCAGTAAAAGAAACAGCAGCGATGGAGTTTAAACTAGGGAGATGAGAGAGAACGAATTGTATAGCAGCAAACATCATGATGAAATAAGTTCTTCTAACGGGAGTGCATCCATCAACACAAATAGTATCATATATCTTCTTTAGAGAATTCCCACCCGTTATCATATATACTATGTTAACCCCAACTTGAACCATTAGTTGCTGGGGCACAACAATCCAAAGTCCTAACTTTTCTCCAAACGCATACTGCCCCAACTCATGATACCTGTCAAGTCTCTTACCCGGTTCAGGCTCATGCATTTCAATCATTTGCCATGCAGTGTAGAGAGTACAAACCCATGAAAGAATCAATATTGTCACACCTGGACCCCTGCCAAAGAATAATATTACTTTTCATCTCTCTCTCTCTCTCTCTCTCTCTCTCTCTCTCTATATATATATATATATATATATATATATATATTCAAATTGTGAGAAATTAAAAGGGAAAACAAACCATCCTAGTTCTGACATAGCGTAGGGAAAACCCAGAACTCCTGCTCCAACAACAGCGGTGACGTTGTGAAAAGCAGAATACCACCAATTTGCATTCCTGGATTTAGTGATGGGAAGCCAGTCGTTGATGTTTCTCTCATTTTTTTCTTGTTCCATGTCTTTTGCTGTTCCTACTATTTGATTATAAGATGTTCTGAGTAATTTTCTCCATATTTATAGTCAATTTATCTAAACAACTGACAAATGAATAATAATAGCAAAAAGATACTTCTGTTATTGATATTAATTAAATATTTAATTAACCAACTATCTGATATATTAATTGAAACTCTACATAGAATTTAAAGTGATAATTTGAATTTGATTTGAGTTTGATAAAGTCTACAGACTTTATAAAGATAACTTCAGAATTTCGATAATTTATACGAAGAATTAGATTTAAACTTTATTGTTGGTATTATGAGGAAAAAATAATTTTATAAAAATAAAATTTAAATTTTATTAATGTTAATAGTAATAACAGATGTTAATTATGGAAAAAAAATTAACCAAAATTTATCTTATAATATAATCCAATTACAATGAGATTTCAACATATAATAATCATTAAATTTAAAATTACATATTGAATATAATCAAATTTTGATGACAGGATTATACTGATGCATACCGAGTTTTAAATTTTTTTTATTAATTTAATAATACTTTTCATAAATTTAAGATAATATATATTTTAAACTTAAAAAAAATGAAAATAGTAAACTTATATTGATAATTAAATAATATAAGATAAATTATTTTAGTATCACACAAAAATTAAATATATTTTAAATTAATAAGTTCTTAACAATATACTTAAATTTAAATGATATATAATTTTAAGTAATGATTAAAAACTAATTTATTTTAAATATAAGTAAAACTTATTTTGTTTTTAAATTTTCTTAATTCAACCATATTTAGAAATATAATAATATATTGATAATTATTTTTTTATACACAATCCTTAACCACCTCTTATATAATATAATAATAAAAAATACAATATAAAAATTTAAATAGTATTATTATTATCATTATATTATATAAACAAATTAATATAAAATTTTATAAGAAAAAACAGATTATCAAAATATCATTTTTTTCTTATTGAAAAGTAAAGAATTTGTAGATAATATATATAAAGTATGTTTAATTTTATTATTGAATTATATTTTGATGAAAAAGTGATAATTACAAAATTAAATAATATTAACAATAATAAAAATAATAAATACTACTTCTTTCTTAACCATTTAAATAAAAAATATGTTTTTAGTTTTAAAATATAGATATTCTTATTTTTATATTCTAAAATTTAAATTTGTCTTATTTTCTTATTTTTTTTATATTTAAAATATTATATTTAACATCTCCTCTTTATTCGGAGTTATCGTTAGAAAAACCAAATAAAACACAATAAATTTACAATTTATAACGGTAAAAAAACTACTTAGATTTTGTTATTGATTTTAAAAATTTTGTATACATATATATATATATATATATATATATATATATATATATATATATATAAAGTATGTTTAATTTTTAATTTTAATTTTGTCATTGAATGATATTTTGATCAAAAATTATAATTACAAAATTAAATAATAATAATAATAAATATTAGTTTTTTTTAACAATTTAAACTATATCTGAGTATGTTTTTAATTTTTTTAAATATTATGTCTTACAAAGTATGTTTTTATTTTTTATATTTAAAATATTATGTCTTATATATTCTCTTTCTCCAAAGTTATTATTAATAAAAATAAAATAAAATATGTTTTTTTAAAATGTAGATATTTTTATTTTTATCCTTTAAAATTTAAATTTATCTTATGTTTTTACTTTTTATATTTAAAATATTATGTTCTATATGTCCTCCTTTTTCAAAGTTCTTATCAATAAAAGTATTATAAGGCATGTTTTTAATAATTTAAATTTAGATATTTTTATTTGTATCTTCTAAAATTTAAATTTATCTTATTTTTTATTCTTTATATTTAAAATGTTATGTCTTGTATATGTTTTCCTTCGGAATTATTTTTAGAAAAAATCAAATAACATATGTTTTGAGTTTTTTAAATGTAGATATTTTTATTTTTATCTTCTAAAATTTAAATTTATCTTATTTTTTATTCTTTATATTTAAAATGTTATGTCTTGTATATGTTTTCCTTCTTCGGAATTATTTTTAGAAAAAATCAAATAATATATGTTTTGAGTTTTTTAAATGTAGATATTTTTATTTTTATCTTCTAAAATTTGAATTTATCTTATCTTTTTTATCATTAGGTCTTATATGTTTTTTTTTAAGTTATTATTAATGAAAATAGAATAAAATATATTTTAAATTTTTCAAATGTAGATATTTTTATTTTTATCTTTTGAAATTTAAATTTGTCTTTTTTTTTATTCTTTTATTTAAAATATTATGTCTAATAGATCCTCCTTATTCTAAGTTATTGTCAATGAAAACTAAATAAAATACAATAAATTTGTAATTTGTAACAGTAAAACAACTACTATTTAGGTTTTGTTTTCTTTATTAATTTAAATTTAAAATATGAGATGAACAATTTACAACCCCAAATTAGTTTATATTTTTTTCATGTTCAATCTCCACCCTTACAAAGGCACTGCCTCACCTTAAATTAATACAATAAAATATCATAATATTACAAAAAAAAGTTTTATATATTTTAAATTAATAACTTCAAAAATATATGGTTACATTTTTAATAATCCGTAATAATTTATTTAGAGTAATAATTAAGAAATGATTTGCATGTAAAATATTTTATTTCTAAATTTTTTAATTTGATATTATTTACAAATAAAAATTTGATAAATACAATTTAAATACATATGTATATATAAATACTATAATAGATAACATTATATATTAATAATATTATTAAAAATTATCCTTTCAAAAAAATTAACTCATGTCATTTAAATGAAGCACACGGTTTTTTTAATATAGTAGGCTAAAGAATAGTTCACTTGGAGACTAAAAATTTGTTAAATATTAAGTAAAATTTAAAGTAATTTTTTTATATTTTAATAATTAAAGGCAGAAATATGCCATTAAATTTATAAATTAAAATATAAACATAATGGATATTTACAAAATTAATTATTGAAATATATTTATGAATATTTTTACTAATTTAAAATAATGAAAAATATAATTTATCGTTTTAAAATAAATTACTTTATTTAAAGTTATTATTATCCATATTATTATTTATAATCATATGTTCTAATATAAATTTTATTCACAACTACATTATTATATCTCAATCTAAATAAATCTTATTCTGGTAAGATAAAAATACCATTAAAAAAAATAAGGATTAAAAAAATTCACATAAAATCACTAAGTGTAAATCATATTTATATTTAAATGGAGGACAAATATAAATTATATGATTCAGATTCTCAGAAAAAAAAATTAGAATATAAATATGTATAAAAAAATTCATTATTTATTTTAATACTTACTTTACAAATCACCATGAATACTGAGAAAGAATATTTTTTCATAATTATGAAAAGATCAAGTCATAAGTTATAATAAGAAGAGGATTAATACGATATCAGATAATATATTATTAATAAATAATAAAAAATATAAAATTATAAAAAATAAAATTATAAATATATAAATAAATATATTAAATAATTAATAAATAATAAAAATTATAAAATAATAAAAATTTAAAAATTAAAATTATAAATATATAAAATAAATATATTAAATAATTATTAAATTTTAAAGATTAAAATCATAAATTATATAAAAATTATAAAATTATAAAAATAAAAAAATTAAATTATAAATATATAAATAAATATATTAAATAATTATAAAATTTTGACGATAAAAATATAAATTACATCAAAATTATAAAATGTGGAAATTCACTTTCAGTTCTAAAGAAAAAAAAATCTATTTAGTACATCTTATAATATTATATATGACTATCAGTTTTCGAGAAAAAAAATCCTGATTAGTAAATCTTATAATATTATATATTATATATCACATATTATACCTTATTATAGATTTGATCGTTATCTTATTATTATCCTTTATACTATTGCGTATCATATACTACACCTTAGTCATAGAAACATGAACAATTATTTTGTTTTAATTCTTAACCATTCATTCTATATGAAATGATGTTAATGATCATTAAATAATATTAATCAAATATAATTGGTGCATCATATTTTTTTAATTAATTACGCATTATAATTATTTACTAATTTTTTTATCTTTTAAAATTTTTGTTCTGAAATATAAAACTTAATTATAAAAATTTGTTAAGAATGGGTTGAATTTTGATACAAAGCAGTGGACATGCAAAAGTCACTCCAAGTTTCTTGGCTTAGAAAACAATAATAAATAATAATTTATACAAGATATTATAATAAATAAAAAATAATTAATAATATATAATAAGATAATTAAATAAATAAAATAATTTAAAAATATTTGGATAAATAATTTTCAAACATTTTTCTATCACAGCCCATAATTGTTTCAGCAAATTCTAAAAACAAGATAGATAAATTATAATAATAACTGGAGTCATTAAAGATTTATGAATTTTCTTTTTTTTTTCTTTAAAATCCAAAGTATTTTTCCTTATTATAACAAAATGTGACAATGTAATAATTATAATTGAATATAGTGATTTAAAATATTACAATGTTTAAATAAAATATACTAATTATTTTTAAATTAGTATGTTTTATAATATAATAATTATAATTTAGTTTTTAAGGGTATTTTTATATACAGTAATAGTTATAAATTAAATAATAATAATAATAATAATAATAATAATAAACATATTAAGAATAAAATGGAATGGAATTTTGTAATAAAAAGTTTTAAAAATGGTTATATAGTATAATTTTTATTAATAGTATATATTAATGAAAGAACGTGTATACGTTAAAAAATAATTAAAAATATTAAAGATAAATTTATAATTTTTTTAAATAAATATGATATAATATAAAGGATAAAAAAGAGAGTATATACAGAAAAATTGTCTAAACAAATCAATCCACTTTATTAATAATACAAATATCTATATATAATTCATACAAATTTAATTATACTTTTTTTTATATTTTAATTTTTAAAAATACGAATTTCAACTCAAGTATTTAACAAAATCATGGTTCAATATATTATAGATTCATGGTTCAATACATTATAGATTTATAATATATTTTAAAGACTCTTGGACATTGGTCATCATTCAACTCACGGAATGCAAATGCAGTAGAGTCTGCACATGATGTTGAGACCAAAAAACAGATTCGCATAAAACTAATAAACAATGTTAAAGTGGTATAAAATTCATATTATCCACATATATATTATCAAAGCTTTTAAACAACGAGATTTTTTAGGCTAAAAATAAAAGACTTAACCATGGTTACACATGATAACTAGAAAAACAACATGAATTCCGGGTCATTTACATTATCAGCCATTGAATAGAATTCCCTAATTAATACCTAGTGAGATAAAATTCAACTATTCCAACGGTAAACTGCCCTAATGTAATAACTGTTAAACTGGGAAGAATTTCCACAGTTGCAACTAGCAATCATCAGAATCTCCCTCAATTGAAATGTCAGGGCCATGGTCAGATAAAACTGAAATTCCTTGATATAAAGAATGGAATCACCATCTCGTTCTGTCTGTAAACTTACACAAGGAATCCAAATATCTTATTATGGAATTTCTAGGACTCAAGTCCTACTTGAACCGGAACTATTCAATTTTTGCATCTTTGACTCATCTACTTTCTTTAAGTCGTCAATCAGCTTGCCCTTGTTTGGTAAGACCGGATCAACAACGAAGGAATAGTTCTTGTGAGTTTTTTGTTTATCTCTGTAATTTAATGAAGATGTTTTGGAAGGGGTAACCCTGGTCGACTCAAGGGATGAATCAAAAATATCAGCCAGAGAAACATCCAAGCTGTCAACATCATCTGACTTCTTGACAATATTATCTCTGTAATTTGATGAAGGAATTCCAGAAATGGTACCGCTGGTCGACTCAGTGGATGAATCTAAAATATCAGCCAGAGAAACGCCCAAGCTGTCAAAATTGTCTGACTTCTTGACACTATTCTCTCCTTCTTTGCAGCTGTGCCAGAAATCCATTGCTTGCCAAAAGGAACTGTCACGTTCATTACAAATTGACTTTCTGTGCTCTTCTGATTGAGTCAAACAAGAGTCATCTCCTTCAGATGCTGCAGACTCGTCATCTGAGACAAGTTCATAATCAGGATGCTTTGATTTTGATACATCCAATTCTATAGCTTTCTTACTTGACTTTAAACCCAAACAATTCTTGTCGGAATTGGTGATAGAAACAGGACCTAACTCCTCCCATCGAGATTCCATGTCATCATCTTCCTGGGTTGACTCAGATAATTCACTATCTGCATTGGAGACCGCATGATTATCAGTTGTTGCCTGAGTTTCGAGGATAGAAGTTTCCAAATCAGAATCACAGACAGCATGAACAGAAGGAAAAATGTAAGTGGACTCTAATTTAACCCCAGGCATTATCTGTAGCAAGGCTGCCAACTTCTGATAACCAAGCTTCTTTATGTCAAGATGATACCCATACGTATCTACAAATAGTCTTCGGAAAGAACTAACATTATATCCCTCTGGGTGTTCCCTTAGTATCTCACTCACAAGTTTCTGACAGTCATTTAATATATCATTTCTAGATCTCTCACTATATTTTGTTTCAGTGACCACCGCAGAAATGGGAGTGTGAGAAACATTCTGATTGTGTTTCTCCACATCAGGTTCTAAAGATTTTTGCAGGTTCGACTGTGATGTTCTACTTAGAAAGAGAGATCTCAAACCATTTGCACCATGGGATTGGTCCACCATTGAATTTTTATGAACAGCCTTAGTTAACTTCAAAGGAAATTTTTGGGAGGGCATTTCCTCCAACCATTTTTTCTCTGCTATTAACATTTCAACCAATTGAAGGATATCCTTTTTGGGGAGTGATCTAAGAAGCAAGGGTCCTCCATTCTGTAACCTTTGCACCACATCCTCCCTGGCACAAATCATACGTAGCAGAATGTGATCAGATTACTCTTTTAGCGAGTAGTTACACAATGATCACCATCAAATATCAAAAGGTACACAATTTTCACAGAAACCATGATATAATTAGTTTGTTATATTGTTTTCTTTGGTAGTAGAGATTTAAATTAGAACAAGGAGCGAATGAGTACGTGGAGGCCTAAAGTTGGTTATTATCCATAACAAAGGGGGAAATTTTCAGGATCGGTACAAAACAAAATTGCACACTAACCTGCTTCTTGACTGGGAGAAAAGTAGTGAGGCTCTGGGTGCAAAGATAAAAGATTCCATATCATTCCAAAAGGAAGCACTGGAAAATAACTCCGTCTTTCCGGGATGATCCAATTCTGATAACTTGGGCTCTTCAGATTGACTAACATTATGATCCAGTTCAGAGTTGGGCTCTTCTGATTGACTAGCCGTCTGGTCCAGTTCAGATAACTTTGAATCCTCAACATGACTAACCACCTTGTTCTGATGAGTCGTCGAATCATCACACTTTTCATTGTTTTTCCCAAATGGCCACCACCGTCTAATCCAGTGAAACAGTGTTGGACTTCTGTTATTAGTTTCAGCACTTCCGCCAGGCGTTTGGACAGCCTGAGCGCCATCAACTGGTAAAGATAAGCCACGAAAAACTTCATCAATCTCCTTTACCGGATTCTCACATTTATTTTTTGCTTCAAAATTTCCAGACTCGTAATTTGCCATAACATTGTTTTCCACCGTTGACTGATCATTTCCAGCAGAGTTACTCTCTTTAGTGGTATGTTTTTCCATGCTTGCAACCTTAGACCTAACAGTGTCATTATCAGACAATTTTTTAGAACCCATTTTTAGGGAATCCATCTTAGTTTTAGAATCTTTGGTGTCCTTGTGTAGCAGTTGAGTTTCTGACTGTGGAGCACTAGCTAGATCCACAAACCAGTCACAAGCCAGAGAAGACTTCCGCAACTCACTTTCCTCAACAGGTCTCCCTTGTGACCGCCCCGGTTGAAATGATGTTAAATCTTCACCCAAGCTACTTTCAAAGTCCGAGGCAATTGACAATTTCCCATCAGCATTCCTCACCTTACTTTTACCCTGACCATTTAGCTCTGGAGCCGCTGCACATCCTGCTTCCTCGTTCTTAGCACCAGAAATTGCTGATTCAATGTATCTGTTCTCAGATGGTTCCATGGATTTCGAAGGAACCAAATGCGCAGTAAAAGAACCATCACCACCATCCCGAACCTCTACGCGCGGCAACGACATCAGAAAGCGGGAAAACTTCTTATGTCCATATAAATTCTTCTCCAAACGCACATCACATTTCACCAACTCAGCACGAAGATTAGAAATGTCTAACCCTTTTGGATGTAAACTCAATATATGCCTAACCTGCCTCGCAACTGACTTAGGAACCGAGCTCAGGGAAGGCCCATAGACCTCCACATTGGGCAAAGTGGTAACCTGCGGAGCTGCAACCGTGACCGGTACCTCAACCGCCGGCAGATCGGCCAACGTCACAGCCTCCTTGAAGCTTCCATACCAAGAGCCAAAAGGCCCATCAGGAGGATGGTTGAGGACCTTTCCAGTAAGATTTTGTCCCTTGAGCATCGAATACCAGTGCCAGGCAATAGTGGCAGCACTGTGGAGGAGAACATCAGGAGTTTTCTTGGGCGTAGCGAGCAAAATATTGTAATTACTCATTCTCAAACGGTGTAACGTACCAGCGAAGTCTATATCACCGGATATCATAAATATGTGCGCCGGTGGAGGGTTCTGCGAAACCCAATACATAAGGTCAACAAGAATATCGGCACTGTTTCTTTCCCCTGCAACAAGGCATTAAAGTAAATGAAACACGGCAAATTAAAGAGAACAAAAGAATAGAGAGCGATGGGGTAGAAAAATAACTGTTGGAGACATGGATGAAGCGAACGCCTGTGTACACGAGGGCTTCCTGGTGGGCCCGGGGGAGCTGTTGAACGTCGCCGAAAGCGGTGATGTTGAGAGGGCCTTTGATTCCGTTTGCTCTCACTGCTTCCATTATTGTCGGAGTGACTTTGGAAGCGTCGAAATCCGAGGGTACGGGGCAGTTCTTGAAGTCCCACCACGCCCAAACCCTCACGTTTCGGGATTCTTCTTCCGCGCACGCAGGGGACGGTGACGGCTCGCACGGTTCGAGCCTGCGAGCTGAACAGGAGGACATGAAGACGATGGTTTTTGCGAGGATGGGCCTCGTCGTTGGGATCACGAACAAGCGGGACGCGGTTGGCATGGGTGCGCGTTGGAATTTTGCAAGGGTTCCGCGAAGATACCGGTGGAGCTAAAGCTAAAACCCTTCTACTACCCTACTCCTCTCTAAATTGGTTTTGGCATCGTGGTTAGTCAGAAAAACTTGCAAATTGCAAGGGAAAAAAACTACATCCTAAATGGAAAAAATATTTTTTTATTAACCCGTATATTTTAAATAATAATTATATTTAAATAAAATATTATTTATTAAAATATATTATAATTATTTTATCAAAATATTAAATATAAAATTAAAATTACTTTTATTCATATAATTTAAATTTTAAAAATATTTTATTGTATGTTTTAGTTTAATTTTAAATAATAATAATAATTCAATATATTTAATTGTCGTTTTTATTTAGATATTTAATTTATTTAAAATTAAATAAATGTTAAAAGAGATTTTAAATTAAACTAATTTAAAATAAAACTAAAAATTAATTTAAATAAAAAATTAATTTTTTTGAATTTAAAAATTTTAAAATCGATATATTTATTTGATAGTCACATATAAAAACTAATTAGGAGAAAAAAATATTATATATAAATTATTTTTAACATCTAGTAGTAAGAAACATAGACTCATAATTAATACTATATTTAATTAACTCTTAACATATATGTTAAAAATTTCTATTAATATTAAATAAAAAATTAATAAAGTTTAAGGAGATCTGAAATATGAAATTTGTAATTATAATTTTTTAAGAATTAAGGTTATATATTCCCGAGACTAAGAGTGGGTTTAAGCAAAAGAAAAAAAGAAGAATACATTTTTATTGGTATAATTATCTTTTTTCCTATTATTTATATATTTTATTCAATTTGATTTTTTATTAATAAAAAATTTAAATTATGTCCTTCAATTTTACAAATAATTTTAAATTGACGCTGATAAGTTTTTTCAACGTAACATTTAAAAAATAAATAAAAAGTTTCCTACGTAGCATTTAATATTTCATAAGGAGTAAAATTTTTAGTTATTTTGATAACAAAATTCCTGACACAATATACAGAGAGACCAATTATTAAAAATCCTCCAAACATTAAATTTAACAATCTTCACAATCATTAATAACTTTATAGACTATAAACATGTAATGTTTTAAGAACCAAATAAATGCAAAATATATTTTTCTTAGACCAAATTATATTCTGCTTTTACTTTTCTTCAACGAGGTCTTCTAGTATCTAAGGGTAGACCGTTAGTTTAGATGGACCTCTGGGCTTATGATCAGATCTAATCCACGTCGATTCTGCTATTTGCACTCTACAAGTTACAATTTAATCCGTGATCAAAGTGATACATTTTTGTTTTTATTTTTATCGTAAAGTTAAAGATACTTCGAACAAAAATATGTTTCATTAATTAAAATTATTACAATGAAGACTTGTTAATTTTTTTTATAAATTTTAACAATCAAAATATTTTAAAAATAATTGACATTAAAAAATATTTAATATGCATTTTGAACGAACTCACATTAATAGAATGGAAAATTGCTTTTGTGGGACCTAATTTTATTAAAAGGGGTAAAAAATTAAGAATTTAAATAGTAATGGGAGGGTGTCGATAACAATGTTATGTTGTGATTGGTATGGCATATGGTAAAATACCTTTTCAATGATTTTTGTTTCAAATCCTAATTATTTCTTCTATTTTGTTTTGTGAAAGTTATGTATGGACATAAATATGCATATTTGTTTTTTTTTTTTATGTCATCACCTTCATTTAAGTAACATTTAAATATAAATAATTATTAATATTATATATCTACTACATGTTCCTCCACTAAAATTGTACATTAAGACCCATATTGCTCGATTCAAAATAGTTTTACAAAAATTAAATTAAGTTTTTAAATATATGAAATGTATTTTTGAATTGGTTTTTCCAGAAATGTATTTTGGAACACTCATTCTATAATGTATTTCTAGAAGATTCAATCCAAAAATACATTCTAGATTGCATGTTTCAAAGTACATTTCTAAAAAAGTTAATCCAATATATATATATATATATATATTTAAATAAGTATGAAAAATGAGTTCTAGAATATATTTCTGGATTTGATATTCTAAATTGGTGGGTTCATAATACACTTCTTGAATGTGCAATCCAAAAATGTCTTTTAGACCCACTAGTCTAAAATGTATTTTTGTAAGATCAATTTTAAAAAATTTATTTTTTTTTAAATTGTATTCCCAAACTTCAGAACTTTATTCTCAATCTCCAAAATGTTTTCAACTAAAAATCTTATGTGAATATTGTATGTGGTAAAACATTGATACAAGTTAAAAGTATTTAGAAATTCTTACCTAATTATTACTACTAGAAAAATGTCAAATAGTAACCGAAATCAGTGACCGAAAAATTTAGTTACTATCGATGACCGAATCAGTAACCAAATTATTATTTTTTAGTCTAGTAACCGAAATAGTAACCGAATTTTCGGTCACAAAAAATCGGTTACTATTTCAGATCACTTTATTATTTGATTTATTTTTTTAATTAATCTATATTTAATTTATGTAATTATTTATTACAAAAATGGTTAATAGTGACTGAAATTAGTGACTGATTTTTTTTATATTTAGTAACTGATTTAGTGACTAAAATTTCAGTCACTAAAAAAATAATTTTTAAACTAATAACTATTTTTCATTTATATAAATATTTTATTTAAAATATTTTAAATATAAATTTACTTAATGATTTAAAATAATTGATAACATTTTTAATAAAATTATAAATATTTAAAAAAAATTGTTTACTAACTTATTAAATAATTTAGTAATATAATTATTTGATTTTATTTTTTAATTTAGCATGTGAATAAAAAAATTAAAATTGATTATTAAATTAGTCACTGAATCGATCACTGATTCGATCATCGAATCGATCACTAAATCAATAATTAAATTAATTATTAATTTAGTCTCTTTATATATATATATATATATATATATATATATATATATATATTACTTGTATGTTAATAAAAATGTATTTCAATGTATTTATAAAAAATTAAAATTATTTTAATTACTGAATTGATATTTTAAATTTATATTAATATCTTGAATAATTTAATAGTTGGATATATATATATATATATATATATATATATATATATATATATATCACTTTAATTTTTTTAATTAAAATTAATTTCATAAAAAAATTAATATTTGAAAATTAATTTTTTTAATTAAAATTAATTTCATAAAAAAATTAATATTTGAAAATTAAAATGCAAAAATATATATATATATATATATATATATATATATATATAAATTTATTTATTTTTTAAAGATGATATATTCAATGTATGTTAAAAAAGTTCAAGCCAAACTTGTTTTTATAGAAGATTTTCAAAACTATCTGGTTTAATTAATCTGTTAAAAGATTCTTTTAATATGTTAAAAGTGCAGTTTTAATCTGTTAAAACTTCTTTTAATCCATTAATACGTTCTTGATTCTTTAACAGATTTGTTTTAAGCTGATACGACAACGTTTATATCAATTAAAACACTTTACAAAAAATCTTCTAAGTTGATTTAATCGATTGTTCGCGATTCAATCGATTGAAATACTGCAAAACTTTCTCCTAAAACTTTTCAAGTTATTTTAACTGATAAAAATAAGTTTTAATCGCTTAAAGCGCTGTGCAGAAACTGCTTTAATCGATTGAAACGAGAATTAATCGATTAAAATAGTTATGATCGGTCATAAATGCATTCTGACCGATCATAATTGAAACCATATAATAGCGGTTCAAGGGTTAACCGCTATCTAAGTCATATTTTAAGAGCGGTTCTGTGTAACCGCTATCTAAACCTAATCTCGCTTGAGCGACAATATTCTCGCTCGAGCGAAACGCCCTACTGCACAAAATTAGTACTCTTGGGTTGTATTTCGCTTGAGCGAGCCTATCTCGCTCGAGCGATAGTTGATTCTGACCGATTATATTTTCGAAATGATCGATCATATTTGATAATTTTTTCAAATATTTAATTATAATCGATTAGTTTTCTAAATTATTGATTAGAATTTATTAGTTTTTCAAATAATAGATTAGAATTGATTAATTTCGAAATATATACTAAAAAAATATAATTAAAACTATAAATTAGTTAAGAATATTGACTATTGTAAAGATAAAGTAGAAACATGAGAGGAGATGAGGATGATAATATAATGATAGAACTTACAAAAATGTAGAATTGAGAAGTTTGAAACAAATAAAAATAAGAAAATAGATATTTAATTACACTTTTAATAAATTTAAGATAATACTAGTTTTAATTTTTATTTTTAAATATTTATTTTAAATATTTAAAACAGAGAAACTATAATTTTAGTTTCTAGCTACTGAATTTAAAGAATTAAATTTATTATTTAATCTTTTAATTTGTAGAATTAAACTCAATATAATTGTTAAAAATACTTTGTAGAGGCATTTGAGAAAGCTCTTGTCAAAATACTTTGTTTTTAATTGTTAAAAACATTTGTAGAGGCATGTTGCAAAACATAATTGAGATGATATGATAGCGGTTCCACCTTAACCGCTATCTAAAGTATAATTAAGATAGCGGTTAATGGTTAACTGCTATTAGAAGTTCACTTTTAAGAGCGGTTCCTGTGAAAATCGCTATCTAAAACGTATTTCGCTTGAGCGACAATATTCTCGCTCGAGCGAAACTTCAAGTGCACAGAATTCGCATTCGAGGTGTATTTCGCTTGAGCGACACTACTCGCTCGAGCGAAATACGATCCTGATCGATCATAACTTGAAATGACCGATCATAATTGAGAGGATATAATAGCGGTTCCCTCATAACCGCTATCTAAAGTGCTTGAGGTGTATTTCGCTTGAGCGAGACTTCTCTCGCTCAAGCGAAGTACGATTCTGATCGATTATATTTTCAAAATGACCGATCATATTTGATAATTTTTTCAAATAATTAATTATA